AAAAAAAGGTACAAAGGCAGGTGCTGTGGATCCAACTTATTTCAAGACCTTAGTTGGAAGTCTTCACTATCTTACTTTCACTAGGCCAGACATACTCTATGAAGTAGGACTGATTAGCAGATATATGGAAACACCGGATCAGCCAGACTTTTATGCAGCAAAGAGAATTCTTCGCTACATCAAAGGTATAATCGATGATGGTTTATTCTATAAACCAACTGATAATTTCAGTTTTGTTGGCTATTCCGATAATGACTGGGGACGTGACTTAGATGAACGGAAGAGTACTACTGGGTTTGCTTTCTTTATGGGAAATACAGTGTTCACTTGGTCGTCCAAGAAATAAGCTATTGTGACACTGTCAACTTGCGAAGCTGAGTATGTTGCAGCCAACTCAGCTGTGTGCCATGCAATTTGATTAAGAAATGTGCTGAAGAATTTAGGATTTCCACAAGAAAATCTTATTGAGATCTATGTTGATAATCGATCTGCAATTGCATTAGCAAAGAACCCAGTTTATCATGAAAGAAGTAAGCATATTGACGCTCACTGTCATTTCATCCGAGAGCATGTGAAAAATAAAGAGGTGGAATTATTTCCTTGCAAATCTCAAGATCAGCTTGCAAATATTTTCACGAAGCCATTGAAAAATGATTTGTTCAATAGAATGAAGTTGATGCTCGGGATGAAACAATATGGAGAATCAAGATTATAGGGGTGATGTTGTGAAGTAATCTTGCTTCACCTATAATAAAAAAAAACTTTTTTCCACCGGCCTAAGAGTAGAAGTATGGAGGCTCAAATCAAGTTTTTCAACAATGGTTGCAACCGTTTGAAATTCACAGCCTTAGCTGCATTTGCATTTAATGGTTTCACATTACTAGTTTTATCTATATATAGCTATTGTATTTTGAGAATTCAGGGTGTGGGAGAGGAAGAGAGTTAGAGAGTAAAAGTGTGTTTCCTCTCCTCAGTGTATTCTAAATATTTGAGTGAAATAAATCTGTTTTCAGATTATAAATTCTCTCTCTTGTATTTGTTTTGTAAACCACCATAAGCGGTTTGCACCCTACTCTCACCAACAATGAGATCTGTGATTACGTGATCGACATAGAATTTTTACATAATGGAGGTAAATATATATTTTAATAAATTTTTTGAAAAAGAAGTGTATAATTTTTTATATTTTTATTTTAATTATTTTAATATTATATTTAACTAGTCTTCTTATAATTTATGATAAATATTTTAGAATTATTAGGTTTCTTAATTTGAATTTATTTTGTTTTCCTAATTTTAAGTGTTTTTCTTGTCAAGACTTGGGATAAATAATTGTTTCCTAATTTTAGATTTTTGGGCGTGGAACATTGTTTGGTCTCCAAGTATTAATTTATTATAAATAGCTATCTAAACCTTAAGGCAAAAGACAACTTTTATTCAATAATATTCAAATATTTAGGTTACGTTTGGTTTAGTTTTAGAATCATGATTTGAGAATAGAGTTGTATTTTGAGTTTGTGAGATTTTGAATCATGATTTTAAAATAAAAAATTTGTTTAGTTATGAGTCACTACAAAAAATTAAGGTTTTAGAGACCAAAATTTAGGGACAAAATTATTTTTTAGGGATCAAATATTTTTGTTGCAAAAAGTGTCGTCATTATATTTTTAATAACGAAAATTGGACATTAGTAATAAATTATTATCCTTTTGGGATCAATTTTTTTGTCTAAAAAAATAAATTATTTTGAGACCAAATTATTTTGTCCTTAAAAGCCTATTTATTTGTGACATTTTTAAAATTTTGTCTCTAAAAGACTTGTTTTTGACTTTTCAAAATGATCTTTTAGTGACTATCCTCGCGACGATAGAAATTGGTCCCTAAATGTCTTTTGCAATAAAATTTTCACTTCTAGGCATTTAGACACCAAAAAATTTGGTCTCTAAAACTCTTATGTGTTGTAGTGAGTTTTGAAAAGAGTTTTGAATTTTTAAAATGAAAAGTTGTTTGGTTATGAGTTTTTTAAAACTTAATTAAAAAACTTATAACTCATAACTAAACACACATACAGCTCAAAACTCTATTGAAAATTCTATTCAAAACTCATAATCAAACTCTTTTTAAAATTCAATTCAAAAAAATAATTATTGAAAAAAATAATTTTTTATTTAAAATATTAAAAAATATATATATTATTTTTTGTTTAAAAAAATATTCAGTTAGTGCTTTAAAATTACTTTTGATTGCATATTTGGTTGGAATTTTTTTTTAATTGTTTTTTTTAAAATGATTTTTTAAAAATAAATTACTGTGACAAATTAATTTTTATTTAATTTTTTTTTTGTTAATTTTAAATAAATGGACAAATAATTTATCATTTTGGTCTAAATTTTTTTTTTCTATATTTAAAAAATATCAAAAACAAATATAATTTTTTTTTTCCAAATAACAAGTAACAATTGTATATATATATATAAAAAAAAAGAAAGAAGAAGAAGAAAGAAAGAAAGAAAGCACTATTCCAGTCAACTGGCCGGACGTCCGGGAGGATGTCTAGACGGACGATCAAGTAGACCCAAAAATTCAACAACTCTGTGGTTTACCAAACATGTTTTGAAATGTGATTTGGAATCATAGTTTGAAAACTATAATCAAATAGAGGGTTGGAATATAAGGGTGAAATCATGATTGAGAATGGAACCAAACAGAGCCTTAATTTTTCTTATGGATTCAATGTTCTATTTTTCTCCTAAATTCGAGAGCCATTTTCGTCAACTGGAACGATATCTAATCTTTGTGTATTTCGCTGCATCAAGTGATATTAGAGCATTGACTGGCCTGGCTTGATGGCATTCAGTGGAGTAGGAAGCACAAATCTTATTGACGATGATCATAGGGTAGAAACCATATGCGAAGCGATTGACAAACATCGGCTAGAGGTGCATGAATTTGGCAATGAGATTTGTAATCTACTTGTTGAGTTCAGGTTTTAACTAAAAAGTCTAAAAGTCTAAAATTTAATACAAGTTATCACATCATTCTCTATTATTTTTTATATTTATTCGTAAAAAGTTAAAAAATCAATTACACTAGTGAATCCCAAACAAGGCCTTAAAAGAAAAGCAAAGTGATTAACAAAACAAATAGTTATACATAAGATCAATAATATATTTTTTTTTAATTTTAAAATGAATATATCACAAGATACTAAGAAAAATTCAATTGTGTAAAGGGTTAAGGTTTATATGTATTTTGAAAAAAAAATCCTCACTTACTGTCTTTAAATAATATGAGACTTTCTTGGAACATAAATTTGAAGGCATAATTTATGAGGCCGTGTTTATTTGCCCGAGCCTATAGTATCGACTCGAGATTGGATTAACAATTTAATAAAATATATAATTTGATGTTTAATTAAAAAAATAATATTTCCCACTCGGACATAATATTCATTGGTGGAAGACTATTGAATCCGAAGTGGGGGTGAGAGAGGTCTAGATAAATTACTTAAATTTTGATTTCATTTGTCTAAATTTAATTTTTTTGAAAAATGAGTTTTTTATTTTTTGTATTTTTTTGTTTTCATTGAATTTTATTTTAATAGTTTAAATATTTTTTTTAGTTTTTAGATACACTTAATATAAATACAATTGAAAAGTATAATATTTGTAAAAAAAATTAAAAATTCACTAAATACCAAAAAAATATAAAACAAATACTAAAATTTGGTACATTTTTGTATTCTTGTGTATTTATTGAATTTTAAAAAAAAATTCTACAAATATTTTACTTTTTTGGTAGATCTAGGTTAGGTGCATCGAAAAAGTAAAAAAAAAAAATTGCATAATAAAAAAAAAATTAAGGAAAATAAAATATTCAATTTTCAAAAATTTGAATTCAGAAAATTAGAATCAAACAAGATGAATAGGATTTTATCAATCTCATGTGGGAGGGGTAGCGGTGATGTTTCCTTGGCAGAGTGTTTGGGTCACAGGGTCTCTTTCTAAGGTTACTTTCTTTGTATGGATAACGGCTTTATGGTGTATATTGACTTTTGACAATCTGATTTGACGCCCGACACATTTTGGTTAATTATTTTTGTATGTGTTGTAGCAATACTGAGTCGGTAGATCATTTGCTTCTTCATTGTTTTATAGCGACTAGGCTTTGGTCACTTCTTGTTGGTTTGTTTGGGTTGGTTTGGGTTTAGGCAGGCTCGATTGTAGATGTTCTTTAGAGTTGGAGGGGCACGAAGAGTTGGGAGGCGTTGGCAGAAGGTGTGGTTGCTTGCTGCCCAGTACTTAATGCGGTTGATTTGGCTGGAGCGTAATAAACGTACTTTTCAAGGGACATCTCATTCAGTAGCTTCGTTGGAGAATAAGCTCTTTTTGATTCTTCACAGTTGGGTTACGAAATCGGTGAATCTGGATGTGTTGGTCTTTATAGATTTTGTGGATGATTTGACCTTTTAGTTTTCTTAGTTTTTACTTGATGTGGGCTGTAGTTTTTGTATTTTTTGTTTCATCCTGATATTTTTTTAATAATAACAATAACTATGATATAAATTGAGAATTTCCATGCTAATAGTCCTAAGAAAGTAGAAATGGTAATCTCATTTAATTCAGTCTATTTAAACAAACATAATTCTAGTATTTTTTAAATACATAAACTAAAGAATTTATTATATAATTTTTCAAATTTAGGACCAAAAAAAAAAAATCTTCGTAGGGCAAAGTTGGTTTGTATAACAATACTCCTTAACCATTGAACTAATGGCCCTACAAATATCCTTTAGGACATGATTCAAAAGTTAATCCAATCCAACGTGAGATATGGACCTTGGCCGAGTGAAAGCAGTATTGAGTGTTACAAAAGATTAGTTAGAAAAATACAATAAAATTAAGTTGTGTTTAGTTCATAAATTTGGTGAGAGAATTGGGAAGAGAATATATATATATATATATATAATTATATTTCACACGTTAAAGAAAATAAGACACCTGAGCATCTGGGCTTTGCTCCATGCATTGATAAATATCATTGTAAGAAATTGGAGTAGATTTTCCACTTTCATCGGTGAAGGAAACCAGTGGACGTGAACCATCTTCTGATCCAGCTTTATCTTTCACATGGCTGTATGAAATGGGACATATATGAGCAATCCAATCAAATCAATTATTGTAAAACAAAACTAAACCACACTTAAAAACAAACATTTCTTGTACTCCGACAATATATATATCTCCATAAAATTGCATAATTTTATTATTGAATCATAAATTATTTTAATTTTAAACTAAAGTTGTGTTTGTTTGGAGATTAGAGCATATGATTGGATTATGTATCTTGGCCAATTTCAAATTCATGTTTATATACAAAGGAATCTCCAAATTAACGGTTATTCGAGACGGTACATATCTTTATATGGAAGATAGTTGAATGTCACGAGAGGTGAGATACAAATAGGAGGATTAAAGACCGTCCCGATTTAGGGTTTTAAAAATCAGAATACCCTTGAATTATAGTTATTGAATAGTGATATATAAAATATATATATATATATATATTTCTTTATTATGTAGAAATATGTTGCTTATTATGATCCTTTTATTAAACATAATACCCATCATTTTTATCATAATATGCAAATATGTCACTATTACATAATTCTAAAAGTATAATCTATATAAAAATTCTTGTGAACAGGATATGGTTTTACTAATCCTCCCTTAATTCAGAGACCATTCAAACATGAGATAGAAATTAACCTAAGATATATTGTTTTATTATTTAATTTTAACTTGTTATCATGCCTAATTGACCGGTAAATCTAAGAGACCAATTCCACCGTCTACTAGTGGGGGCTCAATTAAAGCCAAGTTTGTACTTGAGAGGTTTTGAACTTGAAATTTTAATCGAAGAAACGTAATTCTAAAAAATTAATAATCTCCAGAATAATATAATAAAATATCAATAAATATTATCCCATGAAATCTAATGCAAGCAAACATATCCATGAAGTACAATTGCATTAAAAGAGAAAAATAATATATTGATGCATATATATTTATGCATTTCGTACATAAGTGGGCAACAGAAAACTAAACGTATAGAAACTCAGAAAATGATTTTTCCTAAACAATTTTGTCTTTTTTTTGCACTAAGTTACCTTCGAAGGCTAGAAATGGCTGGTGTCACTTCGGCTTCAGAAGGAGGTTGGAGAATAGAGGGAGGAACTTTGCTGAGTGACATGGCTAGTTTAATCCTAAAGAAAATGTAGACGAAATTCACTATGAAATAACAAGAACATAACATATATATATATATATATATACACACACATAAAGATGACAATTGGATGAGTGGAAGGGCAAAAAAATGTCGTCATGTCGTGCAATAATGGACTTTCCTTTATTTATCAAAGCATGCGTATTTTTGTGTTAATACAATACAAGTAATTCACATTTATTACTTTTTTTATTTTATTTTTTTATAATATACTTCTTAATAACCAGTTTATATTTTTTTTTTAATCAGCTACTAACCACTTTATATGTCAGCACTGTATTAACCAATGCAGTGCTAACACATGAAGTGGTATATTAAGGACATATTTGATTGAGTGGATTAGAGTATGGGATTGGAATTATTAATTCGTGAGTCCAATTATCATATGTTTGTTTTAACATTTTGGTTGAGGATTATTAATCCAATGGATAATTAATCCAACAAATTTGTAAGATTATTAGTAATGAGATAGGGGTGAGATTATTAATCCAATGGATATTAATCCAGTTGGATAGTGAATACTACACTAATTTAATAGGATTATTAATACTTCACAATTAGTCTTGTGAATCAAACATGACCTAAAAGTATTAAGTGTAGCATTACTTTAATACAATAATCTCACATTTTTTTAATGTATTTACTACAACATATAAGAGTGTTAGAAACCAAATTTTTATCTCTAAAGGTAAAAATTTTGTTGTAAAAGATATTTAGGGACCAAGTTCTATCGTCGTGAGAATAGTTGCTAAAAATTCATCCCGCAAAGTAAAAAATAAGGCTTTTATCAACAAAATTTTGAAAATGTCACTAATAAATAAACGTTTACGGACAAAATAATTTGGTCTCATAATAGTTTATTTTTTGAGACAAAAAATTTGGTCCAAAAAAGACAATAATTCATCAATAATGTTCAAATTTTGTTGCTAAAAATATAATAATAACACTTTTTGCAACAAAAATATTTGGTCCATAAAAAATAATTTTATCCCTAAATTTTAGTCTCTAAAACCTTAATTTCTTGTAGTGTATTGTATCAATGTATTAGTGAAATATAAAATGCCACAACATTGAATAATCAAATTTGATACCAAAAAAAAAAAAAAAAACACAACTTTTCTTCTAATGACATTTTTTGGTCTTGTGGCATTTTGAACAAGTGCCACTTCTATCGGTGCCACGGTAGATACGAGTGCCACGGTAGATACTTGCAAGTGCCACTACACCATCATGGCTGAAAACTTTCAATGACATTTTAATGTCATGGTAGATATTATTTGTGGCACTATCAAGCGTCATTAAAAAAAGAGTTAGTGACACTTGTAAGTGTCATTACACCATCAAGATTAAAATCTTTCAGTGACACTTTAATGTCATGGTAGACACTATTCGTGACGCTATCAAGTGCCACTCATGACGATAATTCGTTGTAGAACAATTTGATCCGCTCTTGCGGAGACTCGAACCGCCAACCTTCCGCACTATAAACCTTATACACCACACTCTTCCCACTACACCTCTATAGCACCACATGATTATATATGCAACATATATTATTTATATAGTACATACATCCATATTAATATAAAAGTATATGTATAAACATAATTATTTTATTGAATATAATTTATGTAAAATAAACTATTTACTACCAAAATAAAAAAAAGAGCACTTTTGGTGACTAAAAATATTTTTTAGTCACCAATTCTATACTTTTGGCTACTAATTGTTTTTTAGTTGCTAAAAAACTTAACTTTTGTCGACCAAAATCGGACTTGGTCGCCGAAGATGCACTTTCAGCTACCAAAATTTTGGTCACCAAAAAATTTTATTCCCGCCTTAGGATTTTAGTTCTCCCGCGCTAAAAATGACCACTTTTGGCGACTAAACTTATTTTTTAGTCACCAATTGTACACTTTTTGCTACTAAAATTTTTTTTGGCACCAAAAAGCTTCACTTTTGGTTACTAAAATTTTTTTAGTCGGTAAAACCCATATAATCAGCGACCAAACTTATTTTTAGTCGCCAATTGTAAACTTTTGGCTACTAAATTTTTTTAGTCGCCAAAAAGCTTTACTTTGGGCTACTAAAAATTTTTTAGTCACTAAAACCCATATAATCAGTGACCAAACTTAGTTTTAATCGCCAATTGTAGACTTTTGGCTACTAAAATTGTTTAGTCGCCAAAAAGCTTTACTTTTGGCAACTAATGCTGTTTTGGTCGCTGAAAGCTATACTTTCAACGACCAAATTTTTTTGGTCAAGAAATTTAGTCGCCAAATATGCTTTGTCCTGTAGTGTATATTGAGTTTAATTAATTTATTTTTAATCATTTACTGCATTTTAAAAATTTAGAAAATATATTGGCATTTTTTTTTTTTCAAAAATGTCATTATAAGCTTGGAAAGTTTTTGGCTTAGTGGCATTTCTCAAAATGCTATAAAATATTTGTTTATAACACTTTTCACCTAAGTGCCATAAAAAGTAATTTGCACCTACCTAGTGTCCTGACATTTTTTAAAAAATGTCATTGCAACTAAAGTTTAGTGGCATCTGTTGGTAAATGTCACGAACATAATTTTTTGTGTCATTATTTTATACAATGTCATAAAATTGATGTGACATTTCTTTATTGAAATGCCACTAGAGCTTTATATGTTTTGTGATTCTGTGGCATTTTTCTAAAACATTTGATGCCAATTTTTATTTTTGTGGCATTTTCTAACAACATGCTACTAGTGTAGTGTCACTAAAGTATAAATTTGTTATAGTGAAGTGACACTTTTTTTAATTGAAATGCCACTAGAGCCTTGTATGTTTGTGGCTCTATGACATTTTTCTTAAAAATGCCACCAAATATTCTTTTTGTGACATTTTTTAAGAACATGCCACTAGTATGGTGTCCCTAAAATATGTTTTTGTTGTAGTGTTGTGACACTTGTTCATTGAAATGTCACTAGAGCCTTTTATGTTTGTCGTTTTGTGGCATTTTTCAAAAACGTGCTACTAAATATCATTTTTTGTGGCATTTTCTAAAAATATGCCACTAGTGTAGTGCCACTAAAGTATGTTAGTGAAATTATTTTTATATAAAATAATAAAATAAATAAAAATATATAAAAAATTAAACATTAATGTTTAAAAAAAAATTCCCAATATGTAAAAAAATAAAAAAATTTCTAATCCCCTCACTATTTTTCTAATACCACCTCTATCTCTTCCATCCCAATCCTCCTTCTAACCTCCATCTTAATCACCTCCTCCATCCTAATTCCTTCCCCAACTCTACAAACAAACACAACAATAAATAACCTCACCTCCATCATAATCCCCTCTTATCCATTACACCCCAAAACAAACAGGGCCTTTGTGGCTTCATTTTGGAAAGGTGAAGAGGATGCTGTTTTTTAGCCAGAGTGCGTGGGTTGTTTTCTTGTTGGTCTTGCTATCATGGTATGGTAGGGGTTTGTGTTTTTGTTGATTTTTCACCAACCTCATGGCTTGAGCTAGCAGATAATTGTGCATTCTTCTTGGTGCCAACCTAATTGGGATTAGGGAGGTATGTGATGATACTTTTTACTCTTGTCTTCTCTCTTTATTGATGTTTTCCAAAATGTAATAGTTGTTTTGGTATCATTAATAAAGTTTTTTTTTTGGTTGATAAAAAAAAAAAAAAATCTTCTCTTATGTGTAACTCTAATAAAAATGAATAAAATTTAATTGATTATAAATCATTTTTATTACATAATTTAAATAAATTTTATATTATTATTTTAATTTAGAAATTAATTTTTGATTATTTATTTATACATGTGCATAGCACGGATAATACATTAAGAGGGGTGGAAAGCCGCCCAAGCTGAGTCAAATTGAAATTTTATGTTTGATTATTGGAGTTTAAAATGAAAATTTGTTGCTGACATAACTCGAACTGAGTACCAATATATATATAACCATGCTTTAAAGAAACTTGATTCTCACTTTGGTATGCTAAAATATCAAAATGTTATATTTGACGATTCTACATTAATTGTGAAAATGATATTTAGCCCCCTCACCAGAGAGAGAGAAAACAATTTGTTACCAGATTTTGACAATTGTTAAATTTTATATCAAATTTGGTAGAAAATTTAGCATTACTAAAATTTGGCAAGAGGAAAACTGAGTATTTTGTCAAATTTTGATAATCTATCTACTAATATGTGATCTGTGCTATGCATAGAATGAAATAATATATTACTTACAAAGAAAAAAATTGATAGTTTTTCACATTTTTTCTCCATAAATAAAAATTTCATATATAATTTTAAGAGTTTTATAAAATTATGAAAAAGTAAGACTTTAACAAAAAAAAAAAAAATAATTTAATATCTTTTCTGATTTTACAAAGTTCATAAAATTCATTACTCTTTCTAGATCCAACTAACAAATTTTGTTACCCAATAGGTATTTTAATTTTTTTTTTTAAATTCAAAAATCAAGCTCAATATGTAGATGCTTTAATTTTTTTTTTTTAAGATTTTGATAGCTAGTAGATTTGATATGATTGTAATTATGTAATGTTTTACCAATGATTATCTTGTAGGTGTTATCTATTTATTTTTTAAAAATCCAAAATCAAAAAATTTAGCCATGAAATTGAGTAAGATTTAAGAGGAACTTTTTTAATGTCCCTAATGTTATGATTTTAGAGGATAAAGAACATCCAAAAATTCATAGTAGCTTAGGTCTGTATCATGTTTATTGGACCAAAATTCCCTCGCGTTATTCTCTCTCCACGATTGATAAAGAAAATTTTGGACTAAATTTCTCCGTGTGATAACCAGAGAAATTTGTAAAACTGATAGCTCTTTGTCATTTTAGAAAATTTGTGAAAGCATCACCCCTTGTTCAATATTTTTTTTTTTTTCCGGCAAGAAAACTGAGCTAATTTTTTCTATCATTGTAATGGAATTTGTAACAGCATTACCCATTGCTCAGTTGATTTTCTTTGCTTAAAAA